AATTTAAAAATTCTTTTTTATATTAAACAAAAATTTGATACTATTAAAATATTTATAATATTTCAAATATACATACATTATAGTGTATATATGTTATTATTTATTATAATATTTCATATATTATACATAAAAAGTTTTTAAAATATATTGAAATAATAATATAATTTTTATTTTAATTTTATAAAATAATCATTGCAAAAATAAAATTAAAGAAATGTAATTAAGTATAAGCATTTTGTGTTTATATATGCTAAATGAATAAAAAGTAAAATTCAAATATTTTGATAATATTTAATATGATAATATTATATAGAAAATTATTATAATACTCAAAACAATTCTTGAATGTTTATATTTATAAAACTGATTATTAAAATTTCTCAATATTATACTCGTTGGTATCTTATATAATTTATTGATATTTTCTTGTAGGATGAAAATACTCAAATTGAAATATAGATTAGAAATAGAAACAATAATTTGTATATTTTATTTTTTTTTAATAAATATACGAATTTTTTATGAATCTTAAATAAATCTTAATATTTAAACTGTTAATTGCTTTATATTATTTTTAAAAATAGAAATTACGGAAAATAAAAAATATGATAAAATTAAATAATTGTCAAAATAAGAAAAAATACAATTATTTTTAATAATAATAATGTTTTCATGTATAAAAATTTTTTCATTTAATAAATCTATATGTTATAATAAAAATTAAATTTTATTGATTTAATTTATATAATGTTGAAAAAGCATTAATAGAAAGTATATGAAAGACTATAAGAATTAGAAAAGAAAAAATAATGAAATTAAGATGAAAAATAAAAGAGGAAAATAAAATATTTAAAACGAAAAAAAATAAAATGAGAAAATAAAAAATCTATCAAAATGCAATTGTAAAGCAACTAAATAAAATGAAATAGGAATGAATTTGAGAGAAAATTGATATTGTTGTACATATTTAATAATAAATCAAACATTTTTGAAAAAAAAGAAAAAAATGAATATGGAATTGATAAAATTCAATTCTCCAATCTAGAAAATAAAAATACTATTAATGAGTATCATATATTAGTATAAAATATTTTTTTTTTTTTTGTAGAAATTAATTCAAAATTAAATTCAATAAATAATATTTAATATTTAAAATTTTTTAAAGCATAAACGAGATAAATTTATTGAATCATACATTTTTAGATTTACATTTTTAAATTTATATAATAATAAGGCACTCTTATTTGTAGCAGGCCTTTGATATTTTTTTTAAAATCACACTTATTCGGCAGCAAATGTTGCTAATATTTATTCGAATTACTATAATCAAAACAATGTTATTATAATGTAAATAATATATATATATATATATAATGTGTGAAATTTTAAAATTAATTTCATATGTATATTTATACAAAAAATATAATTATAAAAATCCGTGTAAAGGATGTTTCATGTTAATTTTTTCATGTCTGATGTAATCTTCTGAACCATTAATTATTCGAAAAAATATTCCAATTAAAATTTGTTTTGTAAAAAATATTTATAATGTACATAAATTTTAGTTAAATAAAAAATGAAATTGAGATTTTAAGATAATTGTATTTTTTAAAATAAAATTGAATATATATTTTCTATGCAGTTTCAAGTATTTCAAGATTCCAAGGTAAATCATTCACATATTGGTCTTCTAAAACTATTCATTTATTATAAAATAATATATAAAGTACTAATTGAAATAAAAAATAAAAAAATTTAGAAGATAGAAAATCAATATATTATAGATTAATAATGAATTAATATTTAAAAATTACTTACATGTTTAATTATTATAATTCTATTATTTTTATTTAGACAATATTTATATTTAATATTCTATACAAAACATTATCTATTTTAAACATTTTTTCAAATTGTTCCAAAAATATTTATGAAAAAATTAAAATGAAATCCTTACATAATACATAAATTAATGTTATTATTAAAAAATTATAAATGCTTCATATTTATGTAATGTATTTATATATATTAAATATAATTTCAATAATTTAAAAGTATAAAATGAAATTCAAAAAATTTTCTTAAATAGTAAAAAGAATGTTTAAGTAAAAATTTATAGATAATTATTAGATTGATTTTTATCATAAGTAGATAAGAAAGATTCTGAGAGATATAATAATTTCCCTATATTTATTTAATTGAAAAACATATTTTAAAACTATTATACAAATTTATAGCTAAACTAAAATTTATGAGAGTCTACATCTATCTCTATTTCCTGAAGGTACACCTTCAAGTGCTTGTCTAGTGGTATTTGTTTCTTGCATTGAAGCTTGAAGAGCTCTAGCAAGAGCTTCATCTTCACTCATGCTACCTTGGTAATTTTTGAAAATTTCACCATTTCTTCTATTTGCTTTCATATGATTTTCTAGAATATCAAGTCTTTTCTTTCGAGTCATTTTTTCTTGATCTATGCATGCATGATCTGTTGGGTGTCTGTGTTTTAGACAGAAATTTTTACCACAATCAGAACAATGCACTTGAACTACTTCTTTGATTTTACAACCTTTCATGGAACATCTAAAATGAAAAAAATTATTTTATGAAATTAGTTCTTTTTTGTAATAATTAAAAAATATAAAATACTTATATCATAAAATCTTGTTTTGAATAATAAATTATATTATATATAATTTTATAAAACTATATTACTGTTATTATTTTATGTTTTTAGGTAAAATTCAAAATAAAATTCAACTGATAAATACATTTTTCTAAAAAATAAAAAGTTTATTCTAAGACTAAATTTATTTCTATTAAAAAATTAAAAATTAAAAATGTCTTAAAAATAATATTTAGATAATTATTATAAATAATTTAATAATTATTACAGAACTAATATGAATAATACATATAGAAATATATAATCTTTTATGCAATGTATATAATAAATATATAATATATAAAATAAATTAATTTATTTAATTTGTAAATATTTTAACCATATTTTCATTTATAAAAGAGGAAATTTATAAATAATCTTCAAAACAACAACATATTTAAAAAAAATATTTTACCTGTTACAAAAGATTTTCTGGCTAGATGTTTTTAAATCTGATTGACATTCATTATCAATATGTTGTCCAACTGCAATATCTGGAGGATCACCGCGTTTAATAGGTACTGGAACATTACATAAAGGACATACTGGAACTTGAATATTCTTTTTATAAGCACTTGGACAATTATGATTATTATATGATATATGTTCACTACAAAAAATTATAGAGCAAGCATCACACTTAAGAGGTAAAAAGTCCAATCGATTGCAACTATTTTCTGAGCAATGCTCGCCTAAATTTGGAAATTCCATTTTTGATAAAAAGTACCTAAAATAAAAATTATTAATTTAAAATCCTCAAAATTATAATTCAATAAATTTCAAGAATCAAGTGAAATATAATAATAAATAAAATATATAATAACAAGATATACAAGATATAATATACAAGATATATTTATTGAAAATAAAGTAGTAAAAGTAATCAAAATAAAAATTAAAATTGTAAGATATTATAATAATAAAAACTTCTAGATTCTAAATGATTTTAGAATTTAATTATAAAAATCATATCAGTGAAATATTCATTTTAATTAAATATTTCATAAAAAATGAAAAGAATTAGAATAAAGAAAATAAACTATAAAAAGAAAAAATCTTAATATTTATAAATATAAATAGAAAAAGAAATATATATTATTAAATTAAAATATAAAATTAATATGTGTATATATATATTATTAAATTTTTAAATTATTTTTGGAAATTTTGAATTTTCATATATATCTATTTTTTTAAAATATTTTTTTCACTCTTTTTTCAATTGTACAATTTTTGTTAAGTCACTCTATAAATGAATTATAACCTCTAATGTTAATGTTATAACCTTACATTTTATTTATCTAATTTTTTTAATATTATGAATCTAAAAATGAAAAATTATGAATTTATAATAATTTAAATAAATGACAAAAATAAATTAATAAAGAAAATAATAACATATATAATAAAAATAATATATAATATTATAGAAATACGTACTTTAATTTACATCCAAATAAACTTGTTACTATCTTTCTTATATATTAAAATTAATATTTCGTTTATAGCACATATGACAATAAAATAAATATAAATTTGAATTAATGTAATTTAATATATTTAAATCTTCAAATTAAAAAGAACTTTATATTTCGTGGAAATATAGATATTTTTTTTCAATATAAAACTTAAAATATAGAGCTTCTTCAAACCGATAGAAGTAACTGACTTTTCAGATTTGATGCGAATATATATAAAGTATGCAAACTTATGAAATGTATGAAATAATCGCGTCATTCAAAGATTAACGCGAATTAAACATGATAGTTTTTGAACAAATCAAACGTAATATCTTGACTTTTAGGAATTAAATATTGTAACTCAGAAAGAGGTTTGACTATAATTAGAAATATAAAATAATTTAAATTAATATTAAAATTATTTTTTTTTTTTACTTTGTTTCTTATATTATTATTAATTTCGTTAATTTAAATATGAATTTTTATATACTTATAATAATTAAACATAAAAAATATATATATTATATTGGATAAATTTTTCATGATATTCAGAATTCATTATTATATAATAAAGATAAAATTTATTAAATATAGTTTTAATTTTATAATATAAACTAAAGTTATATTTTGGTATGACTCGAAATCAATCATTTCGTTCCCCGTTTCACCATTTAGAAATATGCGGAACATGGAATGTACTTTCAGCTATTTACAATCATAAACTTGAGTTTGCTTTGTACTTATCACTGGAGCATGGTTTTATTATGATTTTTGAGCGCCAGGTGGCCGCATTTTTGTTGTCCGTCTGTCGAACAGTAAAGGTCTCAGCGCCATTACATTGATTAATATCATTGTATTTGCATTCTTAATTTTCTCAGCAATAGCTAAATTCGAAATAAAAAAATCAGTCAATATGTCGACTAAACGTAAAAATCCAGCAACTAAAAAAGGACGCGCGAAATCAAGAAAAGTTGAATATGACGAAGAGGACATCTCTAGCGAACATGATTCAGACGTTGATGACGCCGAAACCGGCTCGAATGTCGACGGTGAAGATGCTGTCGAAGATGATCTTACCGATGTCTCTAGTATTCCGGAATTACCGCCACCTGAGGTGAAATTATTTTTATCTTTATTATATGTTTACTTATTCTAAGTAAAAAATTTAAATCTAAAGAAATGAAAAAAAGATATTAGTATTATAATATTGATAGATTTCAAAGTTATGCGTTTTTTGAACTGATAAAAGAATTCATTTTATTTATCTTGATGTCATACTTATATAATTACAAGATATTATTATAAAGTTTGTGCATATAATATTAGTAAAATTTTCTATACATTAGTAAAATTTTCTATACATGAGATTATTATTTAATTAAAAATATTTAAAATAATGGGATTCAGATAAAAATTTATTATTTATTATTTGTTAAGTTTATTAATTTTTTGTGATTATTAAGATTCAAAAATTATTATTTTCTATTGTATATTATTCTATTATATATTTTTTATATGTTTTTTACATTTTTTGTAGATATTTGATTAATTATTTATAATATTGAAAAATTAGTTTTAAAAAAATATAAAAAGCAAATATAATATCAAATCTAGCTACAAAAAATTTTTCATAGATTTTTAATGTAATATGCAAAGATAGAAAGAAGACACTCAAAAGAAATTTGAATTTATTTATTTTTGATAGACTGAATTATTTGTTTCTTAGTCATCAAATTAAAATTATATAACAATATGATAATAAGAAAATTGAACACAGATTAAATAATAATGATTATTAATTGATTATTAATTATATATTTTATTATTATTCATATATATATATTATTCGAACTCATTTTTTTTTATACTTTTATAGTATCTATTTTTATAAAAAAAATATTAAATGAAATATGAAATAAATATATTCATTAAAACTAAATTAGATGTTAATTATTACAATAAAAATTTTGATGACAAGAATCTAAAAATGATTTAGAATATAATTTAGATTCGTTATGTTAACTTTTTTATTTTATATTTTTATATTTTACTTTATATTTGATGAGTTTGTTTTTTTATGTATGATTACAGGGAGGATGGGGTAAGCCTGGAACATTATTAATGTGTGGTCTTACAAATTGGGATATGGCAGGCCGTAAAGCTCCACCAAAAGGTGTGAAAGCTAATGTAGGACGCAGTTTATGGACACCGCATACTTTCAAAAACTTGAATGGTTCAAGAGTCAGATTAGTTGCTTCTGGTCCAGCTGCTTCTCACAGTATTATTGTTACTGAGGATAATCGATGTTTAGCTTTTGGTAGAAATGATAAAGGTAAATGAATGAAAGATAAATAAAACTTTTCTTATGATTAATTATTATTTTGTAAGTAAATATGAATTTATAAATTAAAAATTTATATTATATATTAAGATATCATTTTTGTACTGGATTAACAAATTTTAATTTTCATATGATAAAAATATATTTTTTATTTATACATATTTATATTTTTTATAATAAATTATTAATAAACTTTTATGAAATAACTTTTGCAGGTCAATTAGGTATTGGTGATACAAAACGTCGAGATGAACCTACAGAAGTTACAGCATTAAAAGGTCATACTGTCATAGGAGCATCTTGTGGTCGTAATCATACTTTATTTTTAACAAGTCGTGGCATTGTATTTGCTGCTGGAGATAATAAATTAGGTCAATGTGGCGTTGGAAAATCTGACGCCTGCATTATTTCTGCCACTAAAGTAAAATATTCTGGTCCACCAATAGTAAAAGTAGGGTGTGGTGCAGAATTTTCAATGATTTTAGACATTAAAGGTGGTTTGCACTCATTTGGAAGTCCAGAATATGGAGCATTGGGTCATAACACAGATGGAAAATATTTCATAACAAATACGAAAATGGCGTTTCATTTTGAAAAAGTGCCTAAAAGGATCGTCTTATATATTGAAAGAGCGAAAGATGGCCATGTTACGCCTTTAGATCGTGTTGAGATCACAGACTTCAGTTGTGGTCACTATCATACAGTTGCAATTGATAGTAAAAATCGTGCTTTTTCTTGGGGTTTTGGAGGTATCGGTCGTTTAGGTCATAATGAACAACGAGATGAATTAGTGCCTCGCTTAATTAAGTTTTTGGAACCTCCTTCACGTGGTGTGAGAGCTGTATATTGTGGCAGTACTTATAGTATTGCTATTAATGTGCATGGATCAGCTTTAATGTTTGGACAAACAAAACGTACTGGAGAAGCAAATATGTATCCCAAACCAATTCAAGATTTATCTGGCTGGGAAATTAGATGTGTTGGATGTTCTCAAACTAGTGTAGTAGTTGCAGCAGATGATTCAGTTATTGCTTGGGGTGCTAGTCCTACTTTCGGTGAATTGGTAAATAATTGTATAATGAATAAATCTTTTAACAGACTTTTGCAGACTTCTAAACTAAATTCCTCTTCTTCGATTAATAATTACAGGGTTTCGGTGAAATGCGTAAATCTTCAACTACTCCGATGGAAGTGAAAGCGTTAGAAGGTTTGTACATTACTGCTGTTACCTGTGGTCTCTCTCATACACTTATGATTTGTCGAGATGAATCCGAAGAAGAGAAAGCTAAAATTAACAAACTTCAAGTATATTCGGTTTAAATCACATAATTTGTAATACAATTATTTGAAGCAAATTCTATTCACATTATCACATCAACATGTTCGAAAATTTTTCTATTATCATAAATAAGACTACATTTTTTAAACAAAAAAGAAAGAAAAAACAAATTAGAACAAAAATATATTATCATTTTAATTAAGTAAATCGCTTTAATAACTTAAAGAAAAGATTGAAAGATCTGTGAACAATTATTAATAGACTGCAAAAAACGTCCATACAAAATATAGACTTAACTGTTATTCTCTACTTTTAAAATTTCCATTTTTATTTAATGTACGAAGAAGTTTACCATAATAGAGAATCCCATTCTGTTAGTAGCTCAGGATATAGACCAAACGTATCATAGATACAAAAATATATTTTGATACTTTGCTATTTTATTCAAGACACGCGTGCGCGCATGCGCACAAACACACATTCTCTCTCTTTCTCTCTCTCTTTCTCTTCCCCTTCCATTCTCTCTTTTTCTCTTTTTTCTTTTCTCCCTCTCTCTTCCTTCCCCTGTTTTTAATAAAATAGTTCATGCACATAAAGAAATGCAAAAAATTAAAAAATTTTACAGAATTTAACAAATACTGCCTTTATGTTTATTATTCATTTTAATCTATTGCAATGCAAATAGCCTATATCATTGATTCATTACAGTAGTACCTGAATCATTAAATCTGCAGAAAACATTTTTATGTACAGGGATATTTTAGATGCGACTATGTTGAGAAAAGAAGATTTTATACTCTAAATGACTGTTTTTATAATAAACATACAAAGAATGTTTTTATAAATTTACTTTTATTCATAATCACAAAATCTTTTTTAGCCAGTTATAAAAAAAACAATGCTTCCTTAAAAATAACACACATATACATACACAACATTATTTATCATATATTTTAATTACAAATTGTTTCACAATTACACTCAACAAAGAAAGTTTCAGTAAGAAAAAAGATATATATTGTTAATTACTGTATTATATAGGATAATGAAAATCTTGTAATGAATTTGATATGTTACGAAAACTCATGTATACGTATTATAATTAAGACTATCTAGGTCTCAGTAGTGAATATAATCGAAATTTTATATATAATTTTATTTTAGAATTGCTAAAAATGTAATACAAAAATTCATACAATTTTAACATGTAATATGTTTAAAAAAGACTGTAAGTAGAGCCACTGCCACAATGTATTTGAAATCTTTTGTATTGTGATGAAATGAATTGAATACTTATTCATTCCATTCTGTTTCATGTAATATGTTTATGCAATGACATTGCATTATATTAATAAACATGAAAAAAAATGTACAAGACAAATTAAAAAATAAACAAGTTTTTTAAGTAATTTTACTTTTTTAAATATCTATCTTTTATAAATTTCTGTTAGACACTGTTGTTATTCCATATAAAAAAATAATCAAATTTTGTTATTTTTGTTTGATATATTGATTTTACAAGCACTTTTTTTTAAATTTGAAAAATCAGAACTTTAAAATTTTTTTACACATTTCCAATATTGTTTTTTAATTCGATATAATTTTTGATAATCTTCACAAAAATCACAAGGAATATTATCCATATTCTTTTCATTTTCAATTAGTTTTTTTTTTAAATGTTTTTTTGCCTATTTTAAAAATATTAATATTTTATATTTGCTATATATTATATTATATTATTAAATGTTAAATATTATTTTTGTAAAATAATTTTTAATAAGATAAAATATTTTTCAAACAAATTGTTATAAGTAATACTGACGATAAGTTTATGATCCATTTTTATAGTGGATAACGCAACTAATTGTTGAACATTGTCCTTTTTTACTTCAGAAATATTATTACAAGACCATTTTAATAATTGATATACCATGAAATGTATTGGATTTGATGGTTTGTATTCTAAAGATGTAGCCATTGCCCATGATAATGGTACCATGACATTTTGTCTATAATTTTATTAAAGTATAATTAAATAGTTTAAAATTATTTTATATTTAAATATTAAATTTCTATATATTTAATCTGTTAATGCTCAAATGTCATATATCAGTTTTACAAAGTTCCCAAGAATTGATATTTCGATTTTTTCTTTTTAATAAAATTTTAATAGATGTAATATTTTTGTAAAATATTTTATTGAAATAATTTTTAAAATATTTTTGAATATTTATACTTTTTGAATAAAATATATGTTTCACTGAGTTATCTCAGATATTATTGTAAGAATACATATACATAAGAAATTTCTTGCAGATGCTTTATCGAGCAATGGAAAAACATACTTATGCTTTGATTAAACTTAAAATTTATTATATATTTTATATTTTATATATATATATATTATTGTTATTTATATTAATTTTATTTTAAAAATATATACTATTTCATAAAATTAAATACTTTTTATTTTTTTCAAAAATATAAAAATATTTTTAGAAAATAAATATTTTTTCACTATTGATTAAAAATTTTGATTTATAAAGAACAATTTTGTTTTTTTATATATAATTATATATAATTTTATATATATTTATATTGTATACATTTTATAGTAAAATTAAAAAAAAATAAGATTTAAGAAAGATATTTTAATTTTAATAATAATTTTCAAAATCGTATATTCTAGCCAATTCTTAGAAGAAGATACAAAAAAAATTAATATTACAATTATTATTTACCTTAAATAGTCATTTCGTATAATTGAGTGATACATTGTATTACTCTTTGAAATTAAATGACATTGACAAATACATTGCTGAAAAATATCTAATATAGCATCGTAATCTGGTATACTAGTAGAACTAGAAATGCTTTCTGAATTATTTGTTTCAATATTTTCTATTTCTTCTAAACAACTACTGTTTGATTCCAATATAGTTAAACTGCATTCACATATTAGTTCCTGTAGATTATTAAAAATAAAAAATATAATAATGTATAATAAAATAAATTAAATAATTGCATTTAGACCTTCAATTCTGATAATTTTTCTCCCATTTCATTAAGTCCTAAATCAATTAACATTTGTTCAGTTTCTTCATCAATTCCATATTTTTCTACCAATTTTATGACATTTTCTTTTATTCCAATATGTTTTAAGAATACAATTATTTTAGATGATGCAAAATTAATAGGAGATTGCCACTTTAAAATACCAGGAACATCAATACCACTTAAAATTAAATGACGAAGAATATTTGGATTTTGAAGCATTATTCCATATATAATAATATTCCAACAATTCATTTCACTCAATCCTGTACATAGTAAATTTAAAATTAATTCATTACTAAATTTACTCCAAGATTCTTTGAACTCCAAATTATATGGCTCTATATTGAATTTTTTAAAATAGGAAAGTTCACAATAGCTAAGATTTATAAGTCCAAGTTTCATTGCTTTTATGATATTATATATAGACATTCCTAAAAAAATAATTTAAATTAATTTAATCTTTGTTTTAATTTTATGTATTTTTATTATGAATAGAGATACCTTTTTGTTTTAATTCTTTTAGAACAGAATTACTATATAAGCCACTATGAATAGCAATCCATAATCTTGTATCATTTATACCACTAGAAATTGGTTTTAGTTCATTTGATTGTATATTGATGCATTGCTTAAGTCTATTTGTTAATAATTTTAATAATTTCTCTGTACTCCATGTTCCATATATCTGGAGTCCTTTATTAGTTAGAACAACATCTAATTTAGTTGTATGTAATATTTTATTTGATAATGATGATGAACATGATTCAGAACAGATTTCACTATAAATAGTAATAGTTAATTTTAAATACCTTATAATATAAAATATAATATAAGTTCAATATTATAACTATTTATACTTTTTATCATCTAAGTATTTATTAAATTCTTTATTATTTGTATAATTTTGATTATTTAACATAATTATTTCATTTAATTACATACAAATTAAATTAATTTTCAAAATGACATATATAAAATAGTGTTAAAGTAAATATTTTATTTCAATAGGCAATTGTTTCCATTACACAAAATATCACATTATTTTATTACAATTTAAATATAAATATATTTAAAATATTTTTTGTTTGCAAATAAAATAATTTTTAAAGATAAAAAAATATAATAATAAAATTAAATAAACTTATTTAATATAAATAATATATTAGGTTCGTATATATATATACATATATATATGTAATAAAATATCTTTTAATTTATTTATTGTGCTTGTAAACATTAAAATTTATAACATATCAATAAAAAAGTAACAATAATTAACAATTAAATACATAACAATACAAATATTGAAATCGTAAATATATAATAAAATATATTCAACAAAATATTATATTTCCTGGGAATTAAAAATATCACTTTTGTTTATGATTTGACATTATTGTTGTTCTATTAATATTTATTGGTTATTAAATTAAATAAATACATAATATATTTACATGAATATTATTGTTGCTATACAACAATATAAATTTTGTATTACAAATATCTATAAAATTTGACTATTTATTAAAGAATTAGAAATTAGAAGCAAATAATATATATATATATGTATGTATTAGTTAATGCATTAATAATATCAGTTTTCTCAATTTTTTTTTTAACAACCCTTTGCATAATATACATTGAAATTCTGAAAGAAAGAAATTAGCTATCAGAAAAATATAAAAAAAATCATTAAAAAAATAGAAAATATATACATTGTTAAGTAAAATTATTAATGAATATAAAAAAAATATCAAATTTGTTCATGTCAAATTTCGATATTATTGATGCATAAACTTAATATTTATGTATGTATTTTTGATAACATATAAAACATTTCTTTCAATAACATATACAAAGTAATAATGTGCTGAATTATTTTTTGTTTGTCTTCAAAATTCACATAATTTAATATTTAGTTTTTGAATAGACCATATTCAAGTTATGGTTTCTTTACAATAATCACTGATAGAATTTTATATTACAATTGATTAAATCAAAGTACAATAGCAATTTGAATATGGCTCATGTGGTTGAGAATCATCTGCTAATTGTATCCCTCTTTGACCTCTATGTCTTGTACCTCCTATATTACCATTACCATATGATTTAAGAAGAGTGTGTCGATCCCAAAGACCAGGTGTTTGTATTATCTAATAAATAATAATTAATTATAATATTTTAAATAATTTTAAAGAAAATTATATCTTTTTATACCTTTTGTACAAGTTCTTCAAAACAGCATTTGATTCCATCTGCTGTTTTAGCACTACTTTCAATATATAGAGTTTGATGTCTTCTAGCAAACTGTAGACCTTCTTCAGTGCTTACTTCCCTGTTTGGTAAATCTATCTTATTACCTACTACCATTTTAATAATATCTGTTTTATTACAATATGTATTTAATTCATTAAGCCATGTTTCTAACTTCATAAAAGTAATTCTATCTGTAACATCATATACTAATATGGCACCCTGGCCATCTCTATAATAACTAGGTGTCAGAGTACGAAAACGTTCTTGTCCTGCAGTATCCTATAATAATTTTTTAATATATTATATTTGTACAAATATATTTTTATAATATATTTTTACAACAAATAACTAACCCAAATTGCAAGTTTTACTGTATTGCCATCGATTGTAACTTGTTTAGTCCTATAATCCATTCCAACTGTACTTTGCATATTTTCATGAAATTCATCCTCCGTAAATCTAAGAATTATGCTGTTAACAATTATATTTATTCAACTTATTAAATTGTTAAATAAAATAATTTATATTAAATAATTAATTTATTCTGATAATTACCTTGATTTTCCAACATTAGATTCTCCTATCATTAATAATTTTAACACTGTTAATACGTCTTGATCCAGAACCATTGTCAATATTATATATTATACCACTCAATATATGTATATATTTTATTTATTTGTTTATAATGTTGACACTATTAAAAGATAAGTATATTTCAATGAAATTTTAATTATAATTTTTAAGTAATTCAAAATATATTAATATATTTCAATAATTAAAAATAAATTTTTATAAAAGTTATTTTAAATTTTAATTAAATTTTTTTTACAACTATACGCAATAAAAATCGTTTTAATAGTAAAAGAGAAATATATACTATATTTTAAAATTTTTAAATGACTTGAAAATTATTAATCATTTTTTTATATAAAAAAGAAAATAATTTATTTAACTACGCAATTAGTTGTATATTCACGCAATGACATATTGCATTTGAGGTTAATTATAGAAATATTAAATAATTCGAAAGAAAAATAAACAATTTAAAAAAAATTTTGTTTACAAACCAAAAAAGAACATGTTTTTTATATATAATGAAATTATAATATATATATGAGATTTAATATGAGTATTGTTAATATATTTAATGTGATATAAATCTTTAATTAATTCTTACCGTAAAAATGCGTCACTCGAAGTTAACGAATCATATTATCCTTTTTTTGCGATATATGAATTAAAAATTACAATACACAGTTATTGTAATTATTTTAGATAATGGCAGAAATAACATTAAAATTACGATAGTTATTGTAAAATAATGTAGATGTCGTTAATCTGAGACATTATATTAAAAAAATGTTCGTGCTAAAGTTAAATATATTTTTTTAAATTTTTAAGGAATTTTTCGTTGTGAATTTAAGAATGAAAATGAAATAAAAATTTCAAAAAAAAAATATAAAATAAATACAAATAATATTTATTGTTGAAATTAAATTAAAAAAATGCATTTAAAAATATCTAACATAAGTAACTTACTTAATTACATATAAAATTTGCATGAAATACATTATTATTTATAATAAAATGACATAACGAATTAGACACAAATTCAATATTTAAAAAAATCATATAAAAATTTTTTCTAAATTTTAAAATATATAATTTTATATATTCAAATGAGAAATGATATGATTAACATTCCTAACCTCAAAAAAGCGATAAGAGATAAATTTTATCAAAGATGTTAACTATCAAACAGTCAACTCGTACAAACAGTGCTTAGTGATACTTCTTGCATGATGTAAACCATCCGAACAATCAATCAATATTTGTTCCAGTCTTAAGTTCAGAAAGAATAGAAGAAAAATGAATTATAATATACTAAATATGTCATTGGTAAATAAAATAGAATAATGAATTCGTGTAAGTACTCACCAAGAAGGGAGCACTAAATAAGACTTGTACATGAATATATCAAATATGTTCCAAATCTAGATTAAAGTAAGTTTTCGTTTATTATAGTGGTAGAACGCTAAAACGAACAGGAGAAAAAAAGATGGCCGCCGATGGGCAGCCGTGAAGGGGCTGCGTCGCTTGTGCTCGTGGAAATGGGACATTGCAACATCAAAGTGTCACTGTCGTGTTCGTGAAGTGTCACAAATTATTCACAAAGTGACGTGAAGTGTTTTTGTGTTATTTAAACCGTGGATTAATTTTCTGAAATGGCATCCGATAGGTAAGAAACAATTTTTTTAATTCTAGGGAATTGGAAATACTGTACGATATATAGTGGCTATGTTTCGCGGATCGATAGTGAATTTTTTTTCCCAGTGACCCGTTCCAGTTTTCTTGGGAGAGAGGCTCGTCATATTCTTCAAACACAATTGTGTTTCTCTTATTTTTCTTATACTTTATCAATCAAATTGGGTGGGTCATTTTTGCTGAAATTCTTTCATATTTATATTCTGCATATTTATTAAAATCATGTATCGTCTTTTTTTCTTTGTCTTCGTTTCTACTTTCATTTTTTTTCTCTTTTGTATACAACAATGTATGAGTGGATTTCTGTTGCCTATTTCAGTCAATTAAACGGATAGCATGACATCAGACAGTTACTCGTATTGCAGCCAGCATTCCTATCAATTTATGGTTATGGAGAGTGGGGGTGGACACCCTTTTATTACGATGAAACATCTCGTTTTCAAATGTTTCTTTTCCTCATTGCACTTTTTCACACAGTTTCATAACAATTACTATTTTTCTATAAATTTTGTTGTTATCAAAAAATTTATTATTTAGAAAAATAAAGTGTCTTCAATTGTGTTTCATTCTATCGCAGATTTGGCAAAATATTATTGATTAATTATTTATATCTTATAGTTCTTCAATTTCTCAATCTTATATTTTTTTATTTTGAAGAATTAATAGTTAACTTAATTACTTAAAATCTTTAGATGCATTTTCTCTAATACTTACATTTGAATTCAATTTAATTCACTATATTAAATATTCTATCATATATATTTTTTTACTTTGTCGTACTATTTTTAGGATTTTTAATTATAGTGTTAAGGAATAAAAGGAATAAATTTATTTTCAAATGCAACTTTCATGATTTAATATGTATTCAATTAATTTTATTAAGTTTAAGTATCGTAATAATATTTTTATTTTAATATCTATTAATGTATGATAATTTTTTTAAATAAATGATTTTTTTTATTTAATTAATTTTCGGAAAATAATAAAATTATTATTTTATGATGAATTATATAAAATTTTATAATAATTATATATTTTTATGTTAATTTTATATATTTATAAAAATATAAATCAAAAATCTGTATAATTACAGTAGAATGGAATGGGTGGAAATTATAGAACCTCGAACTAAAGAGCATATGTATGCTAATCTTACAACTGGAGAATGTGTATGGGATCCTCCACCTGGTGTGCCAGTGTAAGATATAAATATATATTCTTTTATATAAAAAAAATTGTTTTAAATAATATAATCAAGTATTAAATTGGAAGAATTTTA